GCCACTCTCTCTATCTCTCGACTCCTCCTTTCCATCTCTCTCGATTTCTACTGTGTTGCATTGAGATTGACCAAGATGCATCCCTTGTTGTTGGAATCGCTAGGCAATCGAAGTCTCAAAGTCTCAAGGCAATCCAAAATCGAAGTCTCAAGGCAATCGATTTTGTTTATTTGATATATGCTGGTGTTTTTGTTTCTCAGTTGGGTTTAATCTTATGGTGATCTTCATTTCCTTGCAGGTCTGTAACAGATTCATTTCATCTTCATTTATTTTCTTGTCAGATTTCATGTTATTGATTTGTATTTAAGATTTTCTGTAATTTGATTGCTCTCATGTGGGTTTTGAGTAGTTATTGAAATCTGCTCGGTAAATGCAAAGATTCATCAACTTTGGAAATCAAATTGTTTTGTGCATATGTTTGAGAAATTGATAACTAAATATTGAATTATTTTTAGATGCTTATTTTTCTTTCTCAATTAATTTATTAATAACACATTTAACAATTTGTTGTTCTAGATCTTCTTTAATTTGACAAGATATTACTCAGTAGTTGATTTACATTTTCTTTCTATGGTATTGTGGATTATTTAATGAAGTATTTTGAATTTGTTTTCCAATAAACTTGTGAAGTTTATTTGCCGCCCAAGACAATTGGGGAGAAGTTTGTGTGTATAAAGCGGCATTGGCTCTGTTTATGCTTTTTGGTCCTTGTACCATACATGCTATTGTTTATGCCTTTAGGAAATGTTATGTTGTTTATGTCATCAGAGAGATAAGAAGATACATCAGATAGAATTACATTTCANTACCCGAAATAGCCATCCAGGAAACAGTAAAATTCATGGCCTGCAATTCTCTCTAGAACCTGGTCTAGAAAGGGAAAAGGGAAATTGTCTTTTCTAGTCACCAAATGGAGCTTTCGATAGTCAATACACATCTGCCATCCTATGACAACTCTATTTGGTACTAGTTCATTGGCTTCCTTTTTTACCACCATGACCCCAAACTTTTTTGGCACAACTTGTGTTGGACTAACCCATTTACTATCAGAGATGGGAAAGATTATCCCTACATCTAAGAGTTTAAGCACTTCCATTTTCACGACTTCCTTCATGTGAGGGTCCAGTTGTCGCTGCATTTGACGAGAGGGTTTTGAATCCTCTTCCAGGTATATGGCATGATTGCAGATCAATGGGCTTATTCCTTTCAAGTCAGCGATGTCCAAAATTGTTTTAAAAGTTGTACGGTAGGCCCATAATGAATCAGTCAGTCAGTCTTAAAAATTAATCTTTGTAGTCAGGGTTAACCATTTTTTCTAAAATTTACTTTATGTCGTTATTGGCCAATTCAACTTGACCACTTATCTGTGGATGGTGGGGAGCTGCAACCTTATGATTTATGAAATATTTCTTCATTAAAGTTTTTAAAAATCGGTTGCAAAAATGCGATACCCCATCACTAAAACTTCATCATGGTGTGATGATCATTATTATTGTTGGGAATAGCCTCTACCCATTTAGAGACATAATTAATAGAAACTGAGATATATAAATAGCAAACGATAGGAGAAGTGGTCCCATAAAATTTAATTTTAAAGTTTGTTGTTATGTTTATAAGAATGATGACTTTGACACCAAAGTATCACAGACACATATAATTCAGTAACATTATGATAAACTACCAATAAATAACATAACTAGTAATTGAGAAAGGTGGAAAATGTAACTTATAATCCTGTGAAATGAAGATAGGAAATTGAATTTTATTGTTTGATGTCAAATATTACAAATGGTGATGGAAAATGTATACTCATTGAACAAAAAAGGCTAGAGTATATGCTTATTCTCACACATTGCATTATGCTCACTATCCAATGTTGTCTGTACTTCCTACATCTTCCTTAGTTTATAGCGAAGGGGGATACAAAATTGTTTGATTTTTTGAAATACAATGATGCATTCTTTTGCTGGAAGAATCTAAAAGATGACTTCTCTTACTTTTTAAAGGATTTTTTTTATTACTTTGTCTTCTCACATTATTGTTGGCATGACATTATTAAGGTATGCCAAAATGTTTGTTTATTAAAGGAATGAACCTCATGTCATGTTTTTCAGTATAAGAATTGTATAAAAACGTGTTTTCAACTTGAATTGAAAACACGATTCTAAAATTGTGATTGTTTAGGAAATAAGTTTAAAATAAAGGATAAATCTCATAAATGTCCCTTAAATTATGATATTTATTTTAAATTGTCCTTTGAACAAACTATGTAATTTGTTTTAATCGACTTTTTTCATTAAAATTAACCGATAATTGAGACAAATTCTGTTAATATTAAACATTAAATAATTTAAGAGATAAATTGGGATTATTAAAAGTTAAAGGGTTTGTTGGGCAAATATCATTGACACTCTCTCACATTTGATTGTATTACATGGACACCTCATCACATTTTAAAAATAACATTGAACTCCCTTGACATTTGAAACTTGTAACAAGCAAAGCTGATATCATCAATAATAATTCCTAAAATACCCTCCAAAATTAAGTTTAAGAATCCAAGTAAATATTTTTCTTACCCTATAAATTTACCCAACCTCTCATTTATTTTTTTAATCTATATATTTCATATAAAATCTTACACTAAAATATTTAATTTCCTAATCTATTACATTAATAAGTTAAATTCAATTTATTAAATAATATTTGGAATTATTAGTACAATTTTAAAATTAATCAATTTTTTTTAATCTTAATAATTACCTATCCAATTTTCCAATATTAATTTTATTTTTGTTTATTATTTATCTAATTACATATATTCTTGCTCTTTCCACCCATCACCACCGATTCTGCCACCTACACCACCGCCTAAACCCACACTACAACAAAAAGCATTTTTTGCAACGTTTTTTTTTTTGTGACGATTTTATAATTTTGTCGCAAATTTTTTTTTTTGTAATTTTTTTGCGACGTTTTTTTAAAAACGTCGTGAAAAGGCGATTCATTCCTAATTGTTTTTGGCGGTAGAAATGGTGGGAATTGGCATATTTTTACGACAAAAATTGTTTGTTGGAAATAGTTTTATCTCGTCACAAAAATAAATAATCTAAAATTTAAAGTAAAATAAAGTCTAAATTTCTATTTTGGCAACTTTTTGCGACGTTTTATTAAAAACGCGCGAAAAGACGAATCCCTCCTAATTGTTTTTGCTGGGAGAAACGGCTGGAATTGGCAAATGAAATAAAAAAAATTTTAATTAATTTTTTGTGATGTTTTTAAAAAAATGCCGCAAATAAATTTTTTGCGAAAATAAAAAATTTTAAAAATAATAATTTAATTAATTTTTTGCGACGTTCTTAAAAAAAAGTCGCAAATATATTTTTATGTAAATAAAAAATTAAATAAAAAGTAATTTAATTAATTTTTCAAGACCAATAAATTTTTACATAAATAAAAAATTTAAAAATAATAATTTAATTAATTTTTCATGACATTTTTTGAAAACGTCGCCAACAAAACTTTTGTGTAAATAAAAATTTAAAAAATAATAATTTAATTAAGTTTTTGCGACATTTTTGAAAAAACGTCCTCAATAATTTTTTGCGCAAATAAAAAATTTTAAAAATAATAATTTAATAAATTTTTCGCAACATTTTTAAATTCGTCGCAGAATTTAAATTTTGTAATTTTAAATCAAAATTAAAATTTTAACTATGACGTTTTATTTTTTGTCGCAGAATAATTTTTTTAAAAAACAAAACAATCAAAACGATCTTTCGATTACCCTTCTCAGCGCCACTCTCTCTATCTCTCGACTCCTCCTTTCCATCTCTCTCGATTTCTACTGTGTTGCATTGAGATTGACCAAGATGCATCCCTTGTTGTTGGAATCGCTAGGCAATCGAAGTCTCAAAGTCTCAAGGCAATCCAAAATCGAAGTCTCAAGGCAATCGATTTTGTTTATTTGATATATGCTGGTGTTTTTGTTTCTCAGTTGGGTTTAATCTTATGGTGATCTTCATTTCCTTGCAGGTCTGTAACAGATTCATTTCATCTTCATTTATTTTCTTGTCAGATTTCATGTTATTGATTTGTATTTAAGATTTTCTGTAATTTGATTGCTCTCATGTGGGTTTTGAGTAGTTATTGAAATCTGCTCGGTAAATGCAAAGATTCATCAACTTTGGAAATCAAATTGTTTTGTGCATATGTTTGAGAAATTGATAACTAAATATTGAATTATTTTTAGATGCTTATTTTTCTTTCTCAATTAATTTATTAATAACACATTTAACAATTTGTTGTTCTAGATCTTCTTTAATTTGACAAGATATTACTCAGTAGTTGATTTACATTTTCTTTCTATGGTATTGTGGATTATTTAATGAAGTATTTTGAATTTGTTTTCCAATAAACTTGTGAAGTTTATTTGCCGCCCAAGACAATTGGGGAGAAGTTTGTGTGTATAAAGGGGCATTGGCTCTGTTTATGCTTTTTGGTCCTTGTACCATACATGCTATTGTTTATGCCTTTAGGAAATGTTATGTTGTTTATGTCATCAGAGAGATAAGAAGATACATCAGATAGAATTACATTTCATGGATAGCAGAAGATGAATAATGAATATGTAAAGAATAAGAGGAGTAGTTACCCCAAAAGATGGTTTCCAAAGGATTTCAAATGGATGTTGTATTGGAAATGCACTAGAATCAACAAGATCATTAGAGATGGAGTCAACAAATCTCATACCCCAACTAGAGGAAGACATTCCCAAAATTGCAAAAACTCTTTCTTGATGAAGAGAAAGTCTTAGAGGAAATTAAGGAGAACTCCAAAGGTATTTTCTTCAGTGTAAACAATTAAGATACAAGTATCAAAGCTGCAATGAATTTCATATGGGCTCTGCTATTTTCTGTTTCTTGGAAACTTTCACTATTTGATTTTTATGTAGAGCTAGATGTCATAGTTATGCATTGTTCTATTGTGGACTTTTTCAGCATGAAGCTGGCAGTGTTGCTTTTGATGATGCTCCAAAGAAGATGTCTGACATACAGATGAGAATTGAAACAAAGACTTCAAGTTTAAAAAATATTCAAAATGAAATAGCAAAAAGCAAACTTGACGCAGTGGAAGCTCGTAAACTAGAACAAGTATTTACTTACTTAGACGCGCACTTATAGTTATCAGTGGAGTCTACTTATTTATTTAGATATATCTGATATGGGCAATCTTTGATGTCGTTCTGTNCATTAATAAGTTAAATTCAATTTATTAAATAATATTTGGAATTATTAGTACAATTTTAAAATTAATCAATTTTTTTTAATCTTAATAATTACCTATCCAATTTTCCAATATTAATTTTATTTTTGTTTATTATTTATCTAATTACATATATTCTTGCTCTTTCCACCCATCACCACCGATTCTGCCACCTACACCACCGCCTAAACCCACACTACAACAAAAAGCATTTTTTGCAACGTTTTTTTTTTTGTGACGATTTTATAATTTTGTCGCAAATTTTTTTTTTTGTAATTTTTTTGCGACGTTTTTTTAAAAACGTCGTGAAAAGGCGATTCATTCCTAATTGTTTTTGGCGGTAGAAATGGTGGGAATTGGCATATTTTTACGACAAAAATTGTTTGTTGGAAATAGTTTTATCTCGTCACAAAAATAAATAATCTAAAATTTAAAGTAAAATAAAGTCTAAATTTCTATTTTGGCAACTTTTTGCGACGTTTTATTAAAAACGCGCGAAAAGACGAATCCCTCCTAATTGTTTTTGCTGGGAGAAACGGCTGGAATTGGCAAATGAAATAAAAAAAATTTTAATTAATTTTTTGTGATGTTTTTAAAAAAATGCCGCAAATAAATTTTTTGCGAAAATAAAAAATTTTAAAAATAATAATTTAATTAATTTTTTGCGACGTTCTTAAAAAAAAGTCGCAAATATATTTTTATGTAAATAAAAAATTAAATAAAAAGTAATTTAATTAATTTTTCAAGACCAATAAATTTTTACATAAATAAAAAATTTAAAAATAATAATTTAATTAATTTTTCATGACATTTTTTGAAAACGTCGCCAACAAAACTTTTGTGTAAATAAAAATTTAAAAAATAATAATTTAATTAAGTTTTTGCGACATTTTTGAAAAAACGTCCTCAATAATTTTTTGCGCAAATAAAAAATTTTAAAAATAATAATTTAATAAATTTTTCGCAACATTTTTAAATTCGTCGCAGAATTTAAATTTTGTAATTTTAAATCAAAATTAAAATTTTAACTATGACGTTTTATTTTTTGTCGCAGAATAATTTTTTTAAAAAACAAAACAATCAAAACGATCTTTCGATTACCCTTCTCAGCGCCACTCTCTCTATCTCTCGACTCCTCCTTTCCATCTCTCTCGATTTCTACTGTGTTGCATTGAGATTGACCGAGATGCATCCCTTGTTGTTGGAATCGCTAGGCAATCGAAGTCTCAAAGTCTCAAGGCAATCCAAAATCGAAGTCTCAAGGCAATCGATTTTGTTTATTTGATATATGCTGGTGTTTTTGTTTCTCAGTTGGGTTTAATCTTATGGTGATCTTCATTTCCTTGCAGGTCTGTAACAGATTCATTTCATCTTCATTTATTTTCTTGTCAGATTTCATGTTATTGATTTGTATTTAAGATTTTCTGTAATTTGATTGCTCTCATGTGGGTTTTGAGTAGTTATTGAAATCTGCTCGGTAAATGCAAAGATTCATCAACTTTGGAAATCAAATTGTTTTGTGCATATGTTTGAGAAATTGATAACTAAATATTGAATTATTTTTAGATGCTTATTTTTCTTTCTCAATTAATTTATTAATAACACATTTAACAATTTGTTGTTCTAGATCTTCTTTAATTTGACAAGATATTACTCAGTAGTTGATTTACATTTTCTTTCTATGGTATTGTGGATTATTTAATGAAGTATTTTGAATTTGTTTTCCAATAAACTTGTGAAGTTTATTTGCCGCCCAAGACAATTGGGGAGAAGTTTGTGTGTATAAAGGGGCATTGGCTCTGTTTATGCTTTTTGGTCCTTGTACCATACATGCTATTGTTTATGCCTTTAGGAAATGTTATGTTGTTTATGTCATCAGAGAGATAAGAAGATACATCAGATAGAATTACATTTCATGGATAGCAGAAGATGAATAATGAATATGTAAAGAATAAGAGGAGTAGTACCCCAAAAGATGGTTTCCAAAGGATTTCAAATGGATGTTGTATTGGAAATGCACTAGAATCAACAAGATCATTAGAGATGGAGTCAACAAATCTCATACCCCAACTAGAGGAAGACATTCCCAAAATTGCAAAAACTCTTTCTTGATGAAGAGAAAGTCTTAGAGGAAATTAAGGAGAACTCCAAAGGTATTTTCTTCAGTGTAAACAATTAAGATACAAGTATCAAAGCTGCAATGAATTTCATATGGGCTCTGCTATTTTCTGTTTCTTGGAAACTTTCACTATTTGATTTTTATGTAGAGCTAGATGTCATAGTTATGCATTGTTCTATTGTGGACTTTTTCAGCATGAAGCTGGCAGTGTTGCTTTTGATGATGCTCCAAAGAAGATGTCTGACATACAGATGAGAATTGAAACAAAGACTTCAAGTTTAAAAAATATTCAAAATGAAATAGCGAAAAGCAAACTTGACGCAGTGGAAGCTCGTAAACTAGAACAAGTATTTACTTACTTAGACGCGCACTTATAGTTATCAGTGGAGTCTACTTATTTATTTAGATATATCTGATATGGGCAATCTTTGATGTCGTTCTGTTGCTGATTCTAGGAACCCAAAGGAAATCCCATGGGCCAACACCGGAGCTGAGTACATCATGGAATCAACTGGAGTGTTCACTGACAAAGACAAAGTTGTCGCTCATTTGAAGGTTTATCTTTATGTGACATATCACTTGTGCTAAAGTTTGATGTAGATCTGTTGAATTGTGTACTTTTGGTGTCTCCCCACCATTTAGATGATGTTATATGTGATGTGGTATGTTGGATTATGTAATTGTTTTGCAAATATATGCTCTATTTGGATGCCTATTCTGAAATACTTGGTCTGCATTCGTGAATTAGGATTGTGTTAGTGCTTTACGTTTAAAGTGAATCGACAAACTCATAAGCCAAGTCAAAGTATTGGTTAACCTCTTTGGCATAGATTGTTTTAGTTCTTTTCTTTTTGTTATCTTGTATGTTTATATATTGAGTTGTAGAATAAGGCCTGCTTCTTATTATCATTCATCTTCTTATATTGGAAGATGCTTATTTATTCGTTTTACTAAAGTTTTAGATATGATTGAAAGTATAGGAAATGCATTCAATTAGAACTATACAACAAAATTTGAAGTCTCCTACACAACTATGCAAGTTATCAATGACAGATTTGGCATTGTTGAGGGTCTTATGACCACTGTCCAGTCCATCACTGGTAGGTTTTGTTAGTTGTTTATTGTTAGTTGTTTATTTGTTTGGCCTTTCAAAGAGATTCTTTGTATTGATATTGCTCCATTTTGTTTCAGCCACACAGAAGACTATTAATAGACCATCTTCCAAGGACTGGAGGGGTGGTAAAGCTGCTTCTTTTAACATTATCCCTAGTAGCACTAGAGCTGCAAAGGTACTTGTAAATCCCTGAGGTTGCATTAAGTAATCAAATGATCAATGATGGGCTTCTTTGTGAGATGATTTGTAGGCATGACTTAGCTTTTTTTGACTGAGCTGTGATATCAGATAAACATAGCGATTGTTCATGTATTTTATTTTCCTCTGTTGGGCTTTTGTCTGTAATGGCTGGCTCTAATTCTTGCCCTTTCTTTCCTCTTGAAAAAAACTAATTTTGGAAGGCGGTTGGGAAAGTGCTACCAGCGCTGAATGGAAAATTAACTGGAATGGCCTTCCATGTTCCCACCGTTGACGTTTCTGTGGTTGATCTAACTGTGAGACTGGAGAAGGAGGCTAGTTATGATGAAATCAAAGCTGCTATCAAGTAAGGATGTTGGTTTCGTTTATTTTTCCAGTTGAAAGTAAATCTATAGACTTGTTGCAGAAATACAAACTCTTGTTAATTTTATATATTTTGGTGGACTTGGATTAACTATTAGGCATGGGATGGATGCTCTAGGTCCTGCTAATTATTTGTTGCACTGTGTTTAGTTTGATCTTATTATTTCGGTGCTAGTCATCAGGGAAGAGTCTGAGGGAAAACTAAAGGGAATCTTAGGTTACACTGAAGATGACATAGTGTCCACTGACTTTGTAGGTGACAACAGGTGAGAATGGATATTTCAATTACATGCTTTGTGTTTTGATTATCCTTTCATTACTTGTTCAACTTTGTCCATGAACCACACATTTAGGCATGCTAATAGTTGATTGATTCCTGCTTGTGAAATTTATTGTTGATATACTTTTTGATCATAGTCTTTGGCTTAATTTTTCAATCCTTATGACTTGGGCGAAGAAATTTTTTTTTCAACTTATGCAATTTCATTTTCTTTGACAAGTACATGATCCATATTTTTATGACTTATTAGGTCCAACATCTTTGATGCTAAGGCTGGAATTGCTTTGAATAAGAACTTCGTGGAGCTTGTTGCATGGTACAATAACGAATGGGGTTACAGGTAATCTTGATGCTACTTTTCCTTCTTTGCATCTCCCGTGGCAATTTGAAGTCCAGCCACAAGGTCCTTCTTTATTTATGTTGCAAATCTTATTGAGCGCATATTGCCTCTAATTAGTACATTCTACAAGTAAATACAATGTTATGCAGCTAATGACCTTATTCTTTTTGTGCTGCAGCTCACGTGTGGTTGACTTGGTTGTCCATATGTCATCCATTAATTAAGATAGACTCGAGGTTGGCTGTTGTAATCATCGTTCTTCGCTTTGGCTTGACAAGGGTCATAGTAAGGTATTATGTCATCTCTATGTGAGGAAATGTGTTGGAATAAAATGAATTTTGTTTATTGCATTTATAGTCTACTACTTGTGTGAATCAAATATCTGTATCTTAAACAATTTTAAGGCATAAGGGGGATTTAGATCTCTGCAAGTTTTTCCAACGATGTTTAAGTATGGATTTTCGGGGATGTTCTCATGTTTTCGTCTGGTATTGTAAACCCCACCCTTTTATCTTTATATATGTATGTAGGTTTATGTAGCAAGTTATTATTTCTTTCAGAAACGTTAATATGGAAATTCAAGGAAATAGTAGTTAAAACTTAGTTTAGCTTGCAAATATATGTAATCCTTGTAATAGAACTTGTACCAACTATGTTTGATGTACAAAAGCATGTTGGAGAAGCTTGGGTTGGATTTGGAAGGATTTGGAATGGGTTTGAAATGAAAAATAGAAGAAATAGGCAAATTTGAACAGGACCTACCGGTAGTACGCTGTCCAGTGGATCCGAACTACTGGTAGTCAACAAGTAATNCTTCCTTCCCTGTGGAAACGACCTTAGAATACCACCAAGTAAAACACGATCCATGAAAGTCTCCTTACGCTTGGGGAGCATTTTTGTTCACACACACACACATTTGACATTTCATTCATCCACCATTTCGTTGCCCTTTCTTTTGACATCATCCCAAGGAGAGTGACACTCCCCTTCATCCATATACTATACATGCTAAAAGGTGATGTTTAGAGGTTAGGAAACAACAAGGAATTTTGTCAAGTAGTAGACCGTTAAAAAGTTGGGATTTTTTTGTTTTAAAACTCCATTTTCACTCCATTTACTCCCTTTCTTTCACACCACTCTCACCCCACACCTCTTAGAACCCTAATAGAAAGACTTAGAGAGGAAGAAAGAAGGGGAAAACAAGAGTTCTAAAGGTGATTAAAGATCAAATCTTCTTGTCTTTCACACCAAAACCAAGGAGAAAGGTAGGGGGATTTTCTTCCATTCTTGTCCATTGATGCTAGGGCTAATATAGATGTATTCTTTGACTCTAAATCTTATATATTTGCTATGAAATCATCTTTTCTTGGTCTTCTTGCAATTATTATCATGTTTTACACAAGTTAGGGTTGAATACCCATGAAATCTCTTATTTTGNTTTTTGCAAAGATTACATGTTTTGAACAAAGTTAGGGTTGAATACCCATGAAATCTCTTTTCTTGCTTTAAAACCCTAGTTTTTGGAGAGTGATGGATTTTCTTCTTAAATTCTTCCTTTATGATTGATTTCGAAATGATAGTGCTTTGTGTTGAGTAATAAAATGATGTTGTTGTGATCTCTTGTATTTTTCTCAATTGGTTTTGGAATTGTTACATGATAAATTGGGGATTTTTGATANTATTGATTTTGAAACTATAGTGCTTTTTGTTGAGAAATAAAATGATGTTTTTGTGATCTCTTGTATTTTTCTTAATTGGTTTTGGAATTGTCACATGATAAATTTGGGAATTTTTGAGATATGCTTGTAAATTGAGAAATTGAGTTTGGTATTGTATCTCTCATAAGTGTGGGAGGACCATGGGTGGCCTTTGACGAGATATCATAAAGTGGGTAGACGTTATTCATACTTTGTCTGAGTTTGAACTTTTCCTACCACTCATAGTGGGGTTAGTGCTTTGGTAAGACTAAATCGCTATTGCTCACGGGTATCGAGGTGGAGGGTTAGTATACTAATG